AGGACCATATCCTTGATCTCCTGAATCGAATTGTTGCTGCCGCCGGAGACATTGGCAATGTACTGCATAATTCGCTTTGCAGCCTCAGTCTTTCCAGCTCCCGATTCTCCAGAGATAATTACACACTGATTGTCCTTGTAGGCTTTCATATTGTAATACGCTGACTCGGCAATCGCAAATACGTGCGGAGGCATCTGACAGTGTCAGTTTATACTTGTTCAAGCTTCATCAGAAAATATACCTCCAACCGATTCTTCCCTTTGTAGCTGTCTAAAACTGCATCGGTATATATTCCTACTGTAAATACACCATCAGCAATCGACAGAACAGGTGCCCGCAGATATACATACAGTCCCGAAACGGATTAACAGAGACAAGTACATGTCCAATGTAAGTCTATTTTCCATGTCAGCAGTGCCCCTTAAGGAAAACCTGGATTAGACCGCAGTCGAGTTTGGCTTGCTTACATATATCTCTCCATTCTCGAAGCGCTTCTTCAGATTCTCATTTATTGCCTCATTTGAAACTTTACTGATCAGAGTAAGATCAGACACTCCCACTTCCTTCTTCTTCGTAGTATCGAATGTGGCCTTCTTGATATTTGGCTTGCTGCTACCAGACTTTCCGCTCTGCGCGCCACTCGCATTTTTGTCGCCTTTGTTCCTGCGATTCGTGATACCCTAGAAACAGAGTGTCAGAAATTGTACACCGAATTGGAGCTCTCTAAGTATTGTGCCTTACCATCTTGGAGGCCTCGCCCGCTGATGCACAATATTGTGGTACTCCCAGATCAAGTATATATTAGAGAGGCCCACAGTCTCAGAACAACGCCGAGAGAAGAAACAAGGGAGACCAAAAAGAAATACTGTCTCGTCAAGAGAACGTTGTATCAGAGGAAATTTATCAACAGTCAACGTGCGGCAAGGCGTCGCATGTTGTATCTAATCGCATAGGTTTCTGCCTCAGGCGTCAAGGCGGCAAGCACGGTCGCGAGGGGCTTCGTCACCTCCCGACTCAGCCTCGTTAGGTATTTTTCACCAAAGCCTGAATCATTGACCGCAATCCCGACGTACCCTTCAATCGCCACTCTTCCAGCCAAGTCATCAAAATACGCGGATGTAAGCTTGTTACAGTATAGAACAGAGAGAATTTGATTTAGTCACAGGGCTTCGGAGTTATTTAAAGCAACAGATGTCTATGCTACACACTTTTTACCACGAAAGTTGCCACATAATTTGAGTCTTTTTGTACCTTAGTCGCTCAGAGGTACTGGTGTCCCAAACCCAGGAACTAAGCAGGATAATGAGAAGATCAAGAATATCAGCGCGCTATATTCATATACATGTGGACCTTTTCATCTTACTCAGCTGTGCACTAGTTCAGCAAAAATTCAGTTACTCTAATGCTCGTCTCCCACAGCTCTTCTACCAAAGCAGCATCTTAACCTCTGCACTCAGCAGCTTAAGCTTCCAAAGGGCACGAGATATACTCCTGCATATTCCTCTCAAGATACCTAAACCTTTAGACTAAATCGCTGCAAAGAAGGTGTCAACACCCCTTCTGGTGGTGTAAGAGAGCCATCAAGTAAATGACCCTGTGTTCCGACATACGCTAGAGATTTATCGGTACCGTTAGCTCTGGTTTTTTGCAGGTTATTTCATACTGACTAGCTTCCAAAGCTCCTGGATTGACACTCATAGAAAGGGCTTCGATGCCTTGATTGTCAAAAACTATCTGCAGATGTTTGGCAAAGAGAACATTTGCTGGTTTTGAGTGGGCTATAATTCCCAGCTCTGGCTTCCTGTGGGAACTTAGAATTTAATAATCTACCATATGCTATTAATTCGCTAGATCCTATTCCTGTGCTTTCTTGCCTTCCGTTAAGGCTGGCAAGAGAACCAAACCTGGCTCCAGTAGGTAGTAGAAAATGCGTTTTGGATGACAACTAGAGGCACATATTAGTTTTGATTTTAGTCCATTCAAGCAGAATTACAGATATGACTCGAGCTCCTAGGTAAGATTCTCCAGTCTCTCACAGGAGCTGAAGAAGTGTCGTCATAAGAAGAAACGGAGATAGATGGCTGTCTATTCAGCAATGGATTATAGAATCGTTTCAGGAAGGTTTACTTGATTTTGGAGGAAATTGATATGCCATGAGAATCAAATACTTAGGGTCCGGGAAAGCTAGACACTTCTTAGTGCTGCTCTGTCAGATTAGCCATTTTCCACTTACATTGCTGTATTTTTTACCACTATATTCATTCTTTTCGTGCTACTTCCAAGGGCCGTAGTCGCAGATCTATCATTTGTGAGTCGTAAGGCGGTTAAACAGTCCTCTCACCATCAGCGATTTTGGATGCATATTCGTAACCTGGAATTCGAGGTCTTATACACACCAGGCAGCTTTCAATCAGCAAGGTAGACGACGCATAGTCGAAGTTGATCACCGCAAATAGAACGGCCTTGCTTCATCATGACATCAATTTCTTCCTGGACCTTCGCCTCGTCCCGCCCTTGAATGTAAGCGGTTGCTTTATAAGAGCCAAGTGAAATCAGTTTGAAGACCAATACACTATAGCTAACTACATCACTATAAGCATGGAGCACAGCATCAATTCATGGGTTAGCTTACTATGCACCTGTAACTAGAGCTACCTTGCCACTCAGGTCTGGGATGTTTGAAACATTAGGCTGTTTGGTCACTCCGTATTTAATTACATGTTGCATTCGAATGCACTGTGACTTACTGATGTATATTCTAGGCCTTGGTTGACATTCATTTTATTTACGATTGATATCGTTCGAAGAGACTTGAGTTTCGACCTGCAGAGATGACTAGGGTGGAAGTCCTACACTACGAGGGTTTCTAAGGTGACCTCTTGTATGTAAGTCGTTGAAAGTGTTTGGTAGACTGGAAATGCCTTCGAAATAGTGTCCAACTTCACTCTTCCGAAGAAATGACTACAAGCAGTTTGTAATGTTGTGGGAACTTCCCCTTCTTTGTTACGCCATATAAATAAACCTCGATCCTGTATTTCAAGCTTAGGAGCAGCGTATCGCTAGCGGTTTAGGGAGCCTGTCGCATCGTTGCTCTGTTATCTGCTCTCTTTATTAATACTTTGAAAGAGGGAAGCGCCAACCAAAGCCAGAACTTTGCTGACCTCTGTTGCAGAGGTCCGCCGTTCACGGGCATATACATTTGTAAGCCAACCAAGAAAGGGAACATACTCGACTAACTTCTAACCATGGCAAAAGATAATCTCCTCAAGTCTCAACCAGATTAAGCTCTCTCCTCCAAAGGTAGACGCCTGTAGAAAGTTGTCCTGAGAAACCCAAGCCCGTGCTTGCAACATAGTATATCAGCCGACCCTCTTAAGCTTCAGCATTTCCAGTTAGATAGGATTACTTTTGGCGACGGAAATGAGGAGTCTCAAAAATTGAAAGAACTATATAATTTTGAAATATGCTTAGAAAGAAATGCAACTCTTGTCGCTATCCTCAATGAATATTCCACCATATATCTGGCCCTCGTTTATATTTGGTTCTTGATATCCATCAAAGACCACGCTATTAGTTTCAGTTGGTTTCTTGGCCATTCCTATCTGGAACTGACCGCCACCACTGTTGTCATTGTAGACAGGTTTGGTAACCGCCTTTAGCGGATTGTTGCCAGTCGAATAGTGGATTTGCAACGTGCTGGAAGTGGTTAGGCAGGCAGTCAAATATATTGCAAGACATTAGTTTCTACTTACTTTTTCTCATAATCAAGGGTCACTGCGAAATTCTGCCATTCGTCCCAGACGAGTTTTCTTGTCCAAACAATATTATTCCTGCGATCCAAGGCTTTCCAGAGCTTCGCGTCCAACCCAATGGTGCTCACATTCGAATCCTTCGGCTGATCCTGCTCCAACATGACTCCAATATTTAGCGAAAATTGGTTGCTGGCATAATCATTTGCCTCATGCCAGACATTCATATACTCATGAGTCAAATTCATCTTCCGTCCAAGGTCCTGCTTCACACTCCAGTGGAACGTCTTCACACCGATGTTGCTCTCGTCCGAACCATTACCCATCAGAAGACCGGCACGCCGGAAGCCAATTTGAGGAGAACCACCACCGGGGGCAAATATAGACTCGTCAGAGACAGTCACTTCGAGAGGCTTGTAACCTGGATGGTCGAATCTGGATGGTTGCGCCTTGGGGAAGAGGAGTATTTCAGACCAAGTCAAGTTTTGTCCCTTGGTGTAATTGGGGTTGAATGGGGATGCTGACGTGTCGAAGGCTTGGAGCTGGGTTGCTCGAGGGATGCGGCCATCAAGTGTTATGGGACATTTCGTTATTGAGATTGGGAAGGATAGTGCATTCGTGCTCCAGATGATCGTCGCTATGAGGAGGTATAGGCGTTGAGACATGGTTACAAGCTATAATTTATGATAGTGTATGCGTATGTGTCCAGCTGAGAAGACGACTTCCACAATAATACACAAGTACATCAAATATGTCCTGAGACAGGTGAACCTTTGTGTTATTATATTTTAGAACCGATGAAACCATGGACTTATAGTGTTCCAATAGCTATGTCACGGGCTCATGGATCAACAACAATCTAGTCAAAACTCATATTTGACTTGGAATTGGGGTTTTGGAGGGATGCAATTTCTAAGAACAGGAGAATTAATTTTATATAATCGAGGAATCTTGCAAAAGTACTGGAGTTACGGACCGCAACCCGATTTGCCTACAGGTAATGAAATATTGAAAATCAGGAACCGATTGGTTGGTACAACCCTCAAAAAGTTTATATATTTTCTGAAACCAGCAAGATATCTTTGGGTAAAGGCATATGAACAAATACTTGGATAACCAATCCACACATTGTCCATCCAATTCCGTCCACACCGAGCCTGCAGCAGACATGCAGACCCTAGCAAATTTGACCAACGAAGAGAATCTCCTCGATGTTTAGATGCATACATATATATATCAATGGCAAAAAATTGAACAGAGTGGGACTCGAACCCACGCCACTTTCGTGACCAGGAAATTACAACCCTTTGTGAGAGAGTACGAAAGTATTAAGGTAACCTTAACCTGGCGCCATAACCAGCTCGGCCATCTGTCCTGAAGTAATGATTGGACGAGAGATGTGCTTGAAGAACTTGATATCAATACTGTAATGAGAAGGTGGATCACGAAATAGTTTGCTAGAAAATTTTCGGGCTGGTTACTGTGGTTGCAAAGGAAAACAAGATTTAGTCAGCTTTATTATTGAAAAAGTGGTGAAAAAAGGAGGTGGCAACTAGCGCATACCATGGAAGCGAGACACATAAATCTTAAGCCAGCATACAGCTGATGTTCAAAGTCAAACAATAAATGAATCATTGAAACATTGTAGCTTTATATATTTATTTTTTATTGAAGACAGTATTTGATTTTAAGATTAAAGTAGCTTCAGTGTACGTGAAAAACACCAACGAACTCTTAAATACTAGTTACGGCACGACCATCGCGAGCTCGTGTTTCTGTAAGTAGTGGGGCTTGAGGGGCTGAGACCTTGGAATACGTAGCTAAAGTCTTTCCATTCTTTGGAGTAGGACAACAACAGAAAATTGCAATTTCCGTAAATCCTATCTACTATTGACTTTTGAATTTCAATCTGTATACTTCTATATTCAATCACCATGGAGACAGTCAAGAAGGCTCTGAATACGCTTCACATTGGAAGCGGTGGAGAGATGGCTGCCCCACCAAAGGAACCAACAAAGCAGCAGCTCGAGGGTAACGTTGCAAGTGACTCCTCCTACAGGTCTTTACTAAATAAAATATATAGAGCTGAGAGAGGAATATACGAAAGCACAGCAGGAACAAGTATTTGCGTTTTACGATGAGTTGAGCGTGGCAGAGAAAGCTGCGCTTTATAGCCAGCTTTCAGATATAAATCCTGAGTAGGACACCAATCTCTTGGAAGACCTACTTATTTAAAGTCAGTATGAGCCAATTCTGACTACATTACTATAGCCGCATTAATATCATCACCGACCGCGCTCTCAACCCTCCCAAACCGAGAGACGACGAAAATGACAAGGTATCTGCCTTAAGCCCGCTTCCGGAATCTGCCACCGCCAGTATACTTGATTCTAAACAAGAAGATATTGAGAAATGGTACCAATCGGGCCTCAACTTGATTGCGGAAAACAAAGTGGCTGTTGTGCTTATGGCAGGAGGACAGGGTACAAGACTGGGTAGCTCAGATCCTAAGGGTTGCTTCAACATTGGCCTCCCATCAGGGAAATCTCTCTTTAAGATCCAAGCTGAGCGTATTCGAAAGATACAACGGCTGGCACACAAGAAGGGGAGGGAGGATGTGGTGGTTCCATGGTATGTCATGACCAGCGGACCAACAAGGAAACCTACCGAAACATACTTTAAAGAGAACGGCTACTTTGGTCTCAGAGAGGAGAATGTCATTATATTCGAGCAAGGAGTTCTGCCATGTATCTCGAATGACGGCAAGATCTTACTCGAGAGCAAAGGAAAGGTCGCTGTGGCCCCAGATGGGAACGGTGGTATCTACGAAGCAATTGTCAAGTCGAGCGTTATGGGAGACCTACGAAAACGAGGCATTGAGCACATTCATGCATATTGCGTGGACAACTGCCTAGTTAAAGTTGCTGATCCTGTCTTTATTGGCTTTGCTGCCTCGAAAGATGTTGACATCGCTACCAAGGTTGTACGAAAGCGTAGCGCTACAGAATCTGTTGGCCTTATTCTGCTAAAGAACGGCAAGCCAGACGTCGTCGAATACTCGGAAATTGATAAGGAAACTGCAGAGGCTAAGGACGAAAAGCAGCATGATGTCTTGAAGTTCAGAGCCGCAAACATTGTTAACCACTACTATTCTTTCCGGTTCTTGGAGTCTATTCCTGATTGGGCACACAAACTTCCTCACCATGTCGCAAGGAAGAAGATTCCATATGTTGACACCGAGAAGGGAAGTACAATTAAACCTGAGAAGCCTAACGGCATCAAACTTGAACAGTTTGTCTTTGATGTCTTCCCCATGCTGGAGCTTAACAAGTTCGCCTGCTTGGAGGTCAAGCGCGAGGACGAGTTCTCTCCGCTGAAGAATGCTAGAGGCACTGGAGAAGACGACCCAGATACCAGCAGGAAGGATATCATGAATCAAGGAGAGCGGTGGGCATCGGCTGCTGGCGCAGTTGTGGTCAGCGAGGGTGACAATAATGGTATTGAGATATCGCCGCTGGTCAGCTACGTAAGTCTTGACGGTTTTTTGAATCTAAATAGTTCACTAATACTGCATAGGGCGGAGAAGGACTGGAAGATCTGAAGGGCAAGACCATCACCGCGCCTGCGGTTCTCGAGAAAGAATGGTCAGAATGATAATAGAATATGATTTTGGATGAGTTATGATACAATGGAATGGTAGGCTTTACATTGCATTCTAATGAATCTAAAGCAGAGACTGCCTCAGAGAGTGCCCGAGGCATGATTCTCAGGCTAGTCGTCCATGAAAATATGTGATCCGAGTTGACATAACCTGGACCTTCTATGCAACCTAAGGATACAAAACAACCAATCTCACCGGAAGCCAAACTGAAGCGCTGGCGTTGCAACCTCAGCTTGCACCGCGCCGCCTAATGCAGCTGGACAACTCGCAATTTCTTCCGTTTCCGTTTTTTTTAAGTTACATCAGGAGGGGGTACATCCGTATATCGTGCAGTCAACATTTCACATGGCCTGCTAAGCCTCCCTCTCTGCCATCTTCTCGCTTTCATATATCCATTCAGCCCTGTGCAACAACCTTTGTGAATCTGTGCTTATTTAGACTAAGCTTCCATCTGTTTCTTTCTAGAAGGCGACTAGAATCTCGTGAGGGGCAAAAGGATCGTTCTCTTGATCGTATTGGTCTCGGCACTGGCTCGTTTGGATTGGCTAGAGCAGAGCAGATCTCAGAAGGTTCGACAAAGAAAAAAGTCTATGACGGACGCCAAGAATGGGCTGTGTTTGCTGGCTTACATAAGATGTATTAAATATTTTTCCTCGTGCAGAAATACCCATCATGATTTGCTGCTATAAAAGATCGCTGCTGAAATGATCAAATAGATTATGGGAGAACGAATTGGGTGTGATAGTTAAGTATTACATTGGGCCTTACACTCTGGTTTGTCTTACGTAGTGCGGGGGTGGGACCAGGGTACTGCTGATTTAAGTTTTGTTGTTTGCCTTACGCTCCGCCTTGTTCCACCCGTCGCAGCCAAGGCCAGGGGAGTCATTTCAACTACACTTACCCAGAGTTACACCACCGTATATATTCCGACACCATCTTGCATTTTTCTTGATCCCAGTTAACCGCAGTATCAACGACTTATACTTAATACCCTTTAAGACGAAATTGGTCGACATCCTACAAAATGCGATCAGATCTCTTCACAGTAGCACTTCTGCTGTTCAGCTCGACACCAGGACTGGCTGCGCCACAACCTGCCGATGGTGATGTTGTTTTGAAGCGCGATGCAGCTGTTGTTGGAGTACATGTGAAGAGAGAGCCGTTTGCGATAGAACAAGCAGAGAGATTGTTCAAGCGGAAGGGAGGTGGTGGTGGTGGAAAGGGTGGTGGATCATCGTCGAGCGGATCTTCGTCTGGATCATCGTCATCGTCTGGAAAGGGTGGTACGGGCACTGGCAGCACTTCTGGGTATGTTCCTATCTTTGTTTCGCTGTTGTGATTCGGGATGGTATCAGTTGTGGACGCTCGCCGCGTTGATAATATCGCGGTGGCAGAGCGTAGACTTTCATCATCTCCACAACAGCAATCAGAAATTAAAACGAGACATATACTAACCTCTCTCAGATCTACCACCGGCGGCAGAGGCTCAACTTCATCCTCTTCTAACGCAGGTGGCGCAACCCGCGCAGGCTCAGGTGTCCAACCCTCTTTCGGAGGCGGCAAATATTACGGTGGTGGTGCCAGCAAACCCTACACCGCGGGTTCGAAATCACCCACTGGACTCATCGCCCCTGTCTTCCTTGGTGCCGGTCTTCTCGCTGTCTATCCTGGTCTCTGGCTTTATGGCGCCTACTCCTATCCCTACCACAACCCGTACAGCTACCGCAACCGCTCGCGCAACAGCACCAACACCAACGACAAAAGAGATAGCATGTTTGCGCAGCTTGGGGGACTCATGAAGAGACAGAGCGATGGCGTGAATGAAACGAAACCAGTGGACTGCTTGTGTGCCGCCTACGCAGTATGCGGATGTGACGATACCGGTGATTTGACATTCTTGGCCGACTTGATTGGCGACGGCAGTTATGCCGGCCTAAATAAGAGTGTTATCGACGTGGCAGATATCAACGGTACCAGCACCATAATTTTGAATGGCACGTTGCCAAATGGCACCACCGTCGCGGATCCAAACGCGCCGGATGAGACCACGAGCTCCGACAGCAGCGCTAGTACTCCTGGTGCAGCGAGCACGCTGCAGGCTTCCGGATTCTTGGCCCTCGCTATAGCGGTTGGAGGAATGGTATTCGTTCTATAAATCACAAACGGGAATGAGGATTCTTATATAAGATGATGGAGGACGCGTGGCAAGTGGGGAAGATCACGCTAAGTCAAGAGAGGAACAGGTTTACGAGATGCGCTTTACAATACTATTCACGAAGATACCCAAGGAGGGTTTTATTCACGGACGGGGGATTGGTGTTATTAGATATGGGATACTCTTCTTGCGTGGAAAGCTTTGAAACACATTTGGCGTTGGTGGATTTGGGAAGGGGGAATGAAACAAAATGATGACCACGCCTTTCCGTGTACTATAATACCAGACTCCGTAGCAGGAACCAGCATAAGAAGATAGCCTTACTATTTTATAAACTATTCAGCCAGTTAGAATCTTGCGAATAAGCTTTTCGCATGATGTGTATGATGACACTTCCATCCGGGCACCAAACGTTGTGTGCTAAAACTTGCTATGCCACAGCCAAGGAAAATACAACCGAAATGTTCAAGCGTTAGCAATAAGGTTGAAGATGAAGAAAGGCATCCAAGTAAATAATTCATTCTCGCATGGAACTAGTCTCTACGCAACGCATCACTCG